ATTCTTCAATCAACGGAAAATTCGGACTGCAGCCATTCAAACATGTTTCGTATAATGACAACATCTGTTCTTGAGTCTTCAATTGCTAATTCAATTTGAGTGGCAGTCTCTTCGTCTGATTCGTCTGCCATATTATTATTATGTTCACTAACAGGAATATTGCAATGGACGACCTTATGTTTTTTCATTGCCGTCTGTGATGGGAAATATGTACAGCAGAAACATATTCTCTTGGAAATTCTTCCAGCCACCGATGGACAATAGGGATCAAAAGGCATGCTACTGTAACTGTGATCGGGGGGGGTAAATTTGCAGTAAATTTATGCAAAACTGCTGCACTAAAAAAAAACACAATGTGGACATCCACTTTGTCCTAAACCCCCTCCCCCCCTTTGTCCACTTTAGTCCACTTTTTGCTGAACCCCCCCTCCCCCCATTTGTGTGGACGTCTTTTATGGATGACCCCTTAAAGGCTAAAACTAAAAGTATTCAGTCAGCAGGAGCAGACAATATCATTAATTATTGTTGCGAAAGAAGATGCTATATGGAGTATGAATTTTTATTTTTAATCATTGAAAAGGCCCTTTTTACTAGCCCTAATTTGGAAGTGGCAAAGCTGAAAGGCTCGGAATTTCCCTCACTCGTAAACACTAGCGGCAATTTTAATAGAAATAGTGTCAGATTGCTACAATTTACACAACTATGGTTGTGCATTACCCACTAACTGACTTTTAAAACGTTTCTCAAAACAGCACTTTGGCGACGTTTTTCTCATAAAATACTAAAAAACTTTATTCCGATTTTAAAACGGTATTTACCATAATAATCAACGTGAAAATCTATACAAACATAATAGAAATCAGAATTAGACTAGACGAAGTAGGTGAGATTCGATTGAAACCGTCACGGAGAGACATATTGTAGAAATGAGAATCGGTTTAAACGCGTGGGCCGCATTAACAATAATTTTTGTGTCAGGTAGGGGGCCGCCCATAAAGTCCGTACGTCACGCTCCAGAAGGGGGGGGGGGGGGGGGGGGTGTAAGAAAATGTGACAGTTTGTGACGGGGGGAGTGGGGGTCAGGCCATGTGTGACGTCACACATTTATTTTTAAAAATTTTATTTCTAATTTATTCTTTATTTTTTTTAGTAGAATTGAATAGCTTTAAAAATAATTTTCAAAAAATTTTGTGAAACATTTGAATTAGTTTTATGTCAAAATAGCATGAATAGCACTCCTGAATGTGCTGTTCACGATTCCTCTCGCCAGGAGCGAAGGAATTTATTAGAATGCTGTTGCGAAGCCTTGTTTTATGTATAGCCTTGCCGGGATCAACAGGAGTTTTTTTAAGTACAACTATATGATCTTTATTTTCCTTCTCTGCAGACTAGATTACTTGATCGAATTTACAAAGGATGTCACTTATACTAATACTTTGCCTCACAAACAATGTCGAAGAAACATTCAGGACAACACAGAGCTTGGGCTCGGGAGAATTTGCCAACCCAAACTGTCCAGAATCAACTCAGATAAAACGCACCCGTCCTTCCTTTGAGAATCGCTGCTAGAAGGCAAAGAGAACTCATGGCAGTTATTGCCAGAAAAGAAAATGCACATTCAGAGGATGTTTAGCGGCTTAATTAGGTGTTAATTTAAACAAATTTTTGTTTGAAAGTGCGACGTACTTAAGGGGGGAGGGGGGTCCGAGATTTGTGACAGTTTGTGACATGGGGAGGGGGGTTGAAATGGTAAAAAATAACGTGACGTACTTTATGGACAGCCCCTAGCGGGCTACAAAATATCGTTTTGCGGGCCGCGAGTTTGAGACCTCTGTGATAGAGCAAACCTGGCTACTCCTTGGGAATATGATAAAGATAGCAGCTAGAAACTATACTATAATTGTCAGTAATGTCAGCTTTACTGACAATAGTCATATTTATACCACAAACAATGATATTTAGTCTTTAACAACCTTTCAATTGATTCTGCATTATACAATTTAAGTGTAAAAACTTTTTAACTTGTTGATGAACAAGCTAAAGAGAAAATGAATAGATCAGCACAAAGTAAAATGTACGGTATTTAAAAATTTATTTATAATGAAATTCCATCCCCCCCCCTTTTTTTTTGGGGTGGGGGGTAGAAAATGTTGACATAATTAAATAGGGGGGGGGGTCATTGAAAGTTTGACAATTGTTGACAATGTGGGTGGGGGGGCGGCTCTTAAATTGCTTTAAAAATGTTGACGTAATTAATGGAAGACCCCTTATAAGTGAAAATAATGCACAACTTTGAATACATTTTCTTCAATTCGAGTGACCCATTTCCAACAATAATTGCTGAAACTTAGCTGTGATACATAACGATATATATACGTCGTCGTGTAACACCAAAATAATAATAATAATAAACCCTTCAATAAAATTGCGAAATATTAATCGACTCATGAAGGGGAGATCACTATTATGGGAAAACTGTAATCATCCCGTCTTATTCTCTAGATTTAGCGGGAAGGTATATTCCATTATTTGTTGGGTTTATTTTTATCCTTGATATTCCCCATTTTCTTCATCAATTAACATATATTTACAATATCTTATGGTGTGTGTGAATACATGGGTGTTTAAATTAATTAGGCGTGTGAGAGGGCTGACACGTGAGGGGAGTGTGTCTCTGTATTCATAATTATTACTGTTAGTAACTTAATGAATTAATTAGTCACTTTAGTTAGACTTATTAATTAGTATAGGCTACCGTTAGTGTAGTTTGGCCTGGGAAAGGGGGGGGTGGTGGTGTTAATGCACGAATATAATACAAGCTTTGAAGTTTAATGATAATGTTATTCGTTACTTTTTTTTTTTGGAAGGGGGAGGGGGGGGGGGAGGGGTTGAAAAAAATTTGGTCTAAGAGTGAAAAGGATAATAAATAATAAATTTTAATAATAATAATAGAAGTATTGCTGATCTCATGAACCTACATCTTGTGTGTTTAAGTTAAAAAGGGGGGGGTGGTGGTGTTAATGCACGAATA